AACAAGGCACGAAATTATTTACCTATGGACTCCATTTAAAAGAGTAAGAGCTCACTGCAGTACAGCAATTTAACAAAGAAACATGGAAAACTACTTCATCTCTGTCCTCCATAACTTCATCAGAAGATACCTATCTCGTTTATCATCAACTACAAAGTCAGCTGTGGAAATCAGTCAACCAATCAACCTGCAGAAAAAAGGTTGCTGAGACTATCTGAAATTGACAAGGATTAGAAACCAGCAAATTCCCTTCAAACCATATTACGCAGAGCAAAGAACGGAACAATCAAAGAAGATAAGTTAAATATCATTTACAAAATCAACTGTAATAATTGTAATCAACATTACATTTGACATAGTGGTCACTCTCTTCGCCTTCGTTTACATGAACACTAACCGGTTATCAAACGTCACGACATTTCATAGCTCATCCAAATCCACGTGGATAACAACTGTGGATATGAATTAAATTTGGATGATGTAGGAATACTGAACACTAAAAGTACAAAGAATACCAGAGAATTCATAGAAGCTTGGCATTCAAGTCAGTCACAAATCGACAGATGAATAGACATAGATCCAATCTATCCAAGAATTAGAGATGTGATAAATTATATATAACATGACCAGAGGTCAGGCAGAGAAACAGTCAACAAGAAAATGTTTACTGTCAATGTTATAACACACCCAAAAGAATCTACTGGAGGAAGCTACTGAATACGTCTCGGAGATATGGTGATAGCTCACTTTATGATGAAGGTAGTGTTGATGTTGTCTATAATAAACAATGGAAGATTTAGGAGTAAACCAACAAGCTCAAAGAATGCAACACAACCAAGACTCATCATTCACGTTAGCTTGCAGTTAGCGTTAAAATTATTCTTTGTATTTCAGTTAAAAAGGTTGCACTTCCGCTTGAGGTAATTTTAACGACACCGTTTCTAATGGGATCTTTTTACATCCCTTGAAATCGATCTGTTTTTGGATGAGATTGATGTCGATTATATTTCTCTTTAACTGTAAACACCGTCTGACTAACCTGAACTAAAACTGATCAGTCTACAAATCTCACTTTATGATTCACTTATTTATAGGCCAGCTTTTTTTACAACAGTGATAAGCCCCCCGTTTTAACAACCAAAAATAATTTTGTGTAAAATCTGCTTTTACTTTAGGCTGTAAGCCCACACAAAACCAACAGTGACTTAAGAGACTACTCTAACTATTAATTAGATAACCACTTACTTTTATCTATTTTATAAAACAACTACTTTCTCAGCCGAGATACCGAAACGTGATAGGTTATTTCAGTAGCTGTTAAGATGACTGTTAAAATCGCTCCATAATCAATCCCTATTTAACTAAAAATACAAAAGCTTGCGACATTTTTCTCTTCGCCTTGTAGTCAGGTTATTCTTAGTGTTCATTTGTAAAACTCTAATTGTTGTGCTACAATTCAGTGAAGAAAAGATGTTGACTTCTTGTCAAATCTATTCACCAAAACTGATTTCTCATGGAATGAACATTTAGAAATGTTTCCTAGGGACTATATAGCACCACAGAAATTTAACATTTTTACATCGGACTATCATTTTGGAAGTGAAGCGTGACTTCTGGAGATCTACTGAATACCACTCAGCATAAACCATTTACAAAATCCCGATTTTCAACAATAACGTAAAGTCACTGATTCTATATCGTTCGGAAACTAGCAGAGATACAGCAACAATCTGCGCCTACGCTCACTCGATACCGAAGATCAGATGGTCAGAATGACAAGAATAAGCAACAAGAAACTGTGGTCTGGCAACAAACCAACCAAGAACCCTTCGCCTAACGAGTATGCAGAAGAAAAGGGAGATGGATTAGATTGAATTGAACATACACTGAAAAGACTGTTTGGTAGCATCACGCGCCAGACCAGGCCCTTGCGTTGAATCCAAATGGGAAACAACGAGTTGGGCGTCCGAGGTGAGGATGACATGGAGGAGATGGTGTGAGGAAGAAATAAAAACTTCTGGGCAGTCGTGGAGCCAGGTTAAGAAGATTGTAGAGAAGAGAGTGAAATGACGACGTGCTACTGAGACCCTGTCTACCACCATCCAAATAATAATAATAATAATTACATATCATAAGATATGTTTTATTCTTAATTCAAAAATCTGTGAATGTTTTTTTCATCAATTGTGATAACAGTGAAAAACACCTACGTCATTATTTCCTGTTTTTATATTGGATCGAATTGTCTGATCTCCGTTGGTTGATGGACTGCAGGAACATCTAGCCGACAAGTCCCAAATACGGCGAAACACTCTTCTTAAATCCAAATATTAGCCACCGAGCAAATTGCAGATACTTAGTTGTTTTTATAATAGCTGTATGAAACTCAAAAGGTTGTTTCTGTATTTTCACGTATTAAGACTTTTATGAATTCTGATCGAAAAACACCCACTTGTGCGGACATTTGCATGCAATGTGTCGACCAATTCGCTTACTTCGGAAGCTGCATCAGTCCGAACGGGTTGTTTGCTGACAAAATTTCAGCTTGTATAAAAGGTCACTTGGCACTTTCCAACTTGCGAAATCTTTGTCAATGTCCCCCGACATATATGACTATCCATCAGACTTCGATGCAATTCGTTCTGTTCCGTTATACATCTGTTACACATTGCTGTTGAAAGTATGCAGAAGAAAAGGGAGATGGATTGGGCATACACTGAAAGGACCATTTGGAGACTCCACTCGCCAGACCCTCGGGTTGAATTCAAATGGGAAACAACGAGTTGGGCGTCCGAGGTGAGGATGACATGAAGGAGATGGTGTGAGGAATAAATGAAAGCCTCTAGGCAGTCGTGGAGCCGGGTTAAGAAGACTGTAGAGAAGAGCGTGAAGTGGCGACGTGCGACTGAGGCCCAGTCTACCAACAGGAACACAAGAGACAAATAATAATGCCGATGACCTGATAGTGTCTATTCCAGTTAACTCTCACTCAGATTGTTCTAAATTACATGAGTTCTTGTTGTAGTTGTCCACTGGTCTCTCTCAAATGGACTCAAGTTAAACCCTTCTAAATGTCAGACAGTTAATTTTAGCCTCAGGCGTAAAGAAGACTTGTATGAGCTGCTTAAATCTCAGGACGCCTGTTCCATTTATGATATTTCTGCAGGAAGTAAATCTAGTGTTGACTATCTTAAATTGAGATTTACTTCTGGCCTCTGTTGGTCGTCTCATATTTTGTTAACTTGTAAAAAAAACTTTTGTTTAGCTTACTACACAAAGAAACTGAGGCTCTCTGGTATAACTCAACCTCTTCGCTTACAATTAATTATTTCCTGCATTCTACCTATTCTTCACTATTATTCCACAATGATCTTTCCTGTCTTCTGTTACAAAGTTGGTGTGATTTCTGTTCTAACACTTTTTTCCTCACAAAATATATGTGCTAGGTAAGGTACAGTCAAATTCTGATACTTAGCTATACAAGCATACAGTCTCATGTAGTTTCTCATTGTCCTCTCTGAGGAGATACATGGGGAGAATTGTTAATAAAGTGGATGCTCAGTGTCAGTTAAAATTTCTGTATCTAGTTGCTTGTTAGAATTTAAATGTCAGTCACCACAGTGTTCATCAGTTGAGCCAGAGGCACAGCACTCACCCTACTGACAGCTTTCAAAGCCCTACTCAATATAATGTGGTTCTTTTTTAGAACTGATTTTGAATAATTGTTGAGAGAAAAAAAACGTCTGTTATCTAGTTGTTTGTTGATGAAGTAATAACTCTTTTAAACTAACTGAGAAGTATAATTATATAATATCAAGTATATCCTCTTCTGAAATTTTCTCTAACATGATTATTCATTCATTTATATCGAACATACTGTTCTATTTTAAACACTGGTTACTTTGCTAATTTCATTTTAAAACCATCCATTCTCCTTTGTGTTGATTGTTTTACAACTTTATTCAATACACAACAACTGATAATTGTTTTACTTCACGTGGCTGACATGGTTAAGTAACATGTTGGATAACTGTATGGAATTTGAAGTGGAGAGTGTTAGATTTCAGTCTCAATAGAAATAATATCACTAACTGAGATGTAGACACATCCAGCTGCTGAGCCCTAAGTGAGACAAAGTACACGTCCTAGATTCCATTGCTAGCTACCCACAATCAAATTAAATGAATAATAATAACTTCAGCAACTCAGAATGGAGTAAAAGCATACCAGAATTAGTCAGTTAGAAATAAAACAGATGATTTTGGACTTGAGGTGAAGTTTTCAAAATATTTACTTCTTATCCTTTGCATCAGATATTCGTAAGACATTATCAGTTAAAAGTTTGATTCATCTCTTCTTGTGATATAAGTTGTCGATTTGTGATAGCATGGATTGATTTTAAGGAAATCAGTACACTTGTGTCTTAATTTTTAGATGTTTACCAATCAAGAGCAAGTTTAAAAGTTTATGAAGGTAGCTGAAGTGAATTCATTTCTTGTATCACTAAGATATCTCCAAATGTGATAAACAATATCAGACCGAGTAAGACTTATTTTTAATTGGATACACCTTTTCATCATATTCAAAGCCATATCGTTCCGACTGATCACTTCCAAATTTACTTATTACCAACGTAACCTTATAGCCTTCATATAATGCAGATCACCTCTTTCAATTTAGTTAGTAAATTTGATCATTTAAAAGCATATTGTTCAAAAAACATAGAATGAATGGTCTGAGGATCAAGTACATCCTTTTGTGATTATCATTAGTTGTCGAACAACTGATATGACGCTCTTATTCAAAGTGTTCATAGGAGTTTATTAACTGAGCTTGTAATATTACTGCTAATCTAACTGATGATTAATGTTAACTGGATACTATTGTACTTTTGTGCTGTTGATAAAACTAATAAGATTATAATTTCATCCGAATATTTTACCTACAATCTTTGACATGTTAAATTTATTATTTCTAATTTTTATCTTGTTATTATGTAGTAAATTCTGGATGCCCAATTGATTTAACTGAAACATGCAATTCAATGTTTCCAACATCATTTTCGCGTAGTGAATGGATTAGACTGAATTTCACTGTGTGTAAGTTTCAAAAAGATTTAAAGCCATAACTTTTCTTACAACTACTTACATTCTTAAACGGTTAGTAATTTTGAAATGTTTTGTGGTATAAATATATAACAATCTAGTGATTATTAAAATTTATTCGCAATCAGTACAAGTGGTTTGAGACAGTAAAACAAGATTCAAAAACAACTACTGAGCTTTCAGTACTTCTTGTGCTTATGTTCAATCTTCTATTGAACTCACCAAATGACCTAAGTGAATATTTAATGATATCACTCCTCAAGAAGTTCACTTACTGACCCCCATATCTCTGCAAACATAAACTTGTCAGAAAAGTGTATAGAGGCTTCGGATACATACTTTTGAGAGTTTTTAGAAAAGACTAGGTATATTCATTTTGTTAAGGATGAACTGATGGTGTCTTTCGATGTGACAGCTGTATACATCTCAACTGAACCGAAGCTGGATAAGGATACAATGACGCTTCACGTCAACAGTGACACACACCTATCGGAACACAAGTAACTCTAATATTCAAGTTTGATGGAATTCATTGATTTATGTTTTACAACATATTTTAATTTCAACGGCAAATAAACAGACAAATAGAACACCAATGGGATCGCCTATATCAAGACCGATTGCATAAGCAGTAATACAAAGATTGGGAACTGTGGTATAACCATTGATCAAACAGAAAATTTGGGTCCGATATGCAAATGACAAGTTTGTCATCACTGAAAGAAACTAATTAAAAAACGCTTGCAAATTAATCAACGACATTTTCGACGACATTAAATTCACAAGTGAGGAAGAATCAAATGACAAACTTGCATTTTTAAGTGTTCTGATGGACAGAAAGTATTTGGTGGAATTGAAAACTGAAGCATATAGAAAATCAGCTCATACGAATCAAATCCCCAACCACAGCAGCAACAATGCAACAACACACAAAATCAGTTATATAAAAACATTGTTCAAAAGAGAAAATGCACACTATAATACACTACGGTATAGCATTTTGGAATCGCCGTATTCGAAAAGCCCACAAAATCTCTTCAATCTCTGTTATTTAGGCCAAAAGGTGTTATAGCAAAGGAAGACAAATCAAACATTATCTGCAGAATAAACTACAGAAATCGCCAAAAAACTACATTAGTCAGAACGATCAACCACTTCGTATCCATCTACATGAGCATCAACAAACAGTGAGTCGTCATGACATTTCTCCGCTAACATCAATGCATATGGACAACTGTGGACACGAAGTTGACTGGGAAAATGTGGAAGTCTTGATCAGAGAAAATACAAACAATACTAGGATATTTTTAGAAGCTTGGTATTCAGGTCAATTAGCGATCAAGTGATATACTGATAGTGACCCGATCTATCAACCAATAAGAAACAACAACAAGATCAGAGTTCAGGTTAGCTGAAGAATCAATAGAAATAAATATAAGATAATGACAAGACTGGCATGAACAATCAGTCACACACAAGACCAACAGGACAAGCTGCAAAATTACCTGTCAAGAAAATCGCAGAGCTCATTTCTTGTTGAAATTTTGTAGTGGTGACGTGTCTAGAATGACACTGTAAGCTTCACGAATAAACCATCTAGCTCAGAGAACACAATCCCATTAAAATTGCAATAATGCTTTCTCATCTGCTTAACTCTGCTGTTATTATGAAGAAGTGTTGTCTGACTGACTGACAAAATCAACGTAAGACCTTGTACAGGAGTGTATCGAATCAATTTGCCATATTTCATAGAAGTACAAAAAAAACAGATGGATAGAAAATGAGTAATATAAAAGTAGATCAAGTAGTGTAAGGATACAAACAATCTAAAGAAAAAGGTTAATGTGAATATTCAAGCGTTAGAAGATGTTAAGAAGTAAATACACCGGTACCATCGTGACTGATTTTCAACCATGTCATCAACAGTCCTCAACCACTGATTTCCTTGTCTCAGGAACCCTAAACAGGCAGTCTACATGAAGTGTCATCTAATGAGTACTGGTTGACCATTGTATCTTTCTCTGCTCTAATTGAGATTTGTGAGCCAAGCTATATAAATATAACTATCTACTAAAGTGTACAAGCATACCTGATCACTGAAGTATGTATTTTTTAATTTGCATTTCTTTCATTCAGTGGTGCACCTTAGATTAAGGCCACTTCTTGTGAATGATTTTTTTACTTTTATATAGAGTTTACGCTAACATCTTTTACCTGACTACTATCATCTAACAGTGGTCAGTTTAAGAAATTCATTCATTTGTTATTACTTCGGTCTGTCAAATACTAAAACATACAGATATAATAGTTTAACTGCAAAGGTTTTTATAAAACGTTTGGATAGAGGAATAACTGAAGAAACCCAGTAAATGTCTCAGTCTGTAAAGATTAGTGTATAGCTTGCTAATGGAATAAAGACAATGTGACAATGATGACACACTACATCAGTCTAGGAAAACTTAGATCCTGGGCTAAATGCAGTGCATAACACGTAGAGGTTTATGATGCTTCCAGGTTGGGTATACAGTAGTAGGTTGAGTTAGGTTAGAAGGCAAGTTCTTCTGTTTGAGATGCGAATACTCACCAAAGTTAGTTGAACAGCTCTGTATACACTTGAGCTTCAGTAGACGTATAATACCGCACCCTGTCACTCATTAACTAAGCATGAATCGCAAAGCAGTATGTAAGTTTGTACTAGGTTTCTAGACTGCGGTGTTACGATTCGGTGTTTCATGTACCTAAATTGTATTACTAAATGCCCCTAATTAGTTTTGCATCTAAAACTGCTTTCAGGTTTCCTCTCTTAATTGTTTCGTATAAACTCCATGTGATTCAGGAGTGGGAAGTGGTTGTAAATGTTTGACATTCACTTTTATGAACTTTTACAGTCTTCATCGTATAAAAATACTGTCAGTTGATGCCAACAGAAAAAAATGTTTTCTTAATGTCATGGGTGTTACCGGTCTTCAATTCTTTTGTTTGAACTTCATGCTATTACTATTAACATTACACCAGCTGACTTAGTGGGAAGACAAGTGTGTTCTACTAGCTCTTAAGGAATAGTAATGCATTCTCAATGTAGCCACTTCTTTAGGATTTTGTAGACACCTGTCTTAAAGAAGAGTTACTATTTAAATGGACAAAAATGTTATGGGCTCTCCTGTTATTAGCAGACATTTACCCAATACTCTGAAATAGACAGACATTGAATATTTGTGAAAATTTGTACTTGATAGTCACCCATGTTAGTCAGAGGATAGATGGCGATCAAGCTGATGCTACTTGAAGACAGTGTAAAAGTCACCATAGTTTAGACTTGCGATATCAAACTGGGTAATAGCTTTCTGATACAATGTACCCAGTACTTAATAATAAAACAGAAGACGTATAAGATTTTCAACCATATTTCATGTAAACATCCAGATTCTCATCAAGGTACATCGTTTTGTGAAACACTGTGGTGTTGTCTTATTACAACAAGAAGATGCTCAGAAGGTGTGAGAATATTTCTTAAACGTGATACAATATGATAGTGGGCCCCTACGCAACTACATTCAGACTGGAGTTTTATTTTTGATATATGATCCATAAAAAACCATTTTAATTGTTGGTTATGCAAAACATAAACAATTTTTTTACACTGGAGCAAATTGTTTGGCTTGATAGATGAAAACAACTTTTGAACTTTGCTGAAAAAGTCCATTGGAAACCGAAGTTAGACTTGCAAGCTTCATTGTTAACCAGTGGATACTGGTTCATTGTTGAGGCGTGCATGAGCCAACAGAACAAGCATCTGAAATGATATAGAAATAAAAAGAATTTACTTCCATTGAGGGTATCAAAGATCGTGGTGAAGTTCAGAGAAGATATATTGTTGATTCAGGATGTGAAGGTGGTAAAGGATTCCTTAAGTGCCCATTACGATAAAAAAAATTAAATGGCTTGTCCTTGTAAAACTGAAATGAAGTCATGTGTATCTGCCATCCTTGATGACTAATAAGGTGTATCCTGAACAGACTAAAATGGATAAAGTAATAAGGGCCTAACAGAATCTGTTTCCCAGTCTAAATTCCTGTTTAACAGTTTACGCCAAAAGGTTAAAGCTCTCTTACTGGAACAAATCATATTTTATTTCGTTTTCCTAGTCACTTTCTATACCTATTATCACAATGAAGTGCTATTACTTCATTGTTAGAAATAGTCTTTTCATCATACTATTCACGAGTATCTATTGTTAGTTCAGAAAACTGCGAAATTTCAAACATCCAAATGTTCTTCTTGATACGATCATCACTGATAGCGTCGAAAAAGACTGATGAGACATAACTAGTCTTGAACTAAAGAAGGATCACTTCTGGTCCATATAGAGTGAAAAATAATTGCCGTTTTCTAAAATTATGGGAACGTAAATGTTATCTCCATCGTGTTAGAGCACTGCCTGTTTTAGCAGTTTCAGTTACTAAACGTTAACGTTTTGGAAGACAATGATGGCATTTAATGGAAATGAGATTTCAGGGTATTGCTGGAAGTGTAAGTGTGGCTGATGCATCTCAATTGTCTGAGCTGCGCAGTTTTGCTCCTCAAGTTGCATTAAGGGAAAATTCGTTTAGTATGGTTAGTCTCATTACCCAGGAAACATGAAGCAGCTTTTTGATACCAGTCATTAGCTCTGGTTCAGGTTTGTCTGTGTTACCCCCATACTTAAAAATAACAGCTATATTAAACCTGAGTGGTAGATATACTCAGCATTTTTCAGGCCAGAAGTAGTAGGTCTTTCCAGTGGCATAGAAAAAGCATAATCTCCAAGAAATGCTGATTATCCTTGACGCGAAACACATTGTTAAAGTGTAATAAGACAGTAGTATTAATTCCCTCTGAGACCTTAGATCCGTTTGTATAAATATAATCGCAATAATGGAAATAGTGAATTTGATTGTGTCGCTGAACAAGTGACCTTCCCCATGGTACCTCAAAGGATAAGTTAAGCTGTACTTTGAGGCGGAAAATCTGGACTACAATCCCAATTTAATGGTTAAAGCCTAAACTTTCTGTTTGAAATTATCAAGTTAACTTTATTGTCAGAAATGTCGCTCAAGAGAATTGTTACCGCCGAATTCACTTCAGCTGATGATTGAGATAACATTCACAATATTCCAATGCAGTTGGTCTTTCTATCTCACAGCGCATTGCCACTTTGACTTATTATGGTGTTAGATGTAGTGAACATATCTAAAGGAAGCTCTACATGACCTTGGTTTCGCGCTTACTGACATTCATCAGCACGTGTCTTTAAGATCGTGAGAAAATCGGTTTTCCTTTAGGGATTATAAGTCAAGACACTCAGTGCTGACATCAACAAATCAGTCGATAAGATATGCAAAGCATGGTTTTTTTCCTGTAAGACTGGATGAATTAAGCAAGCTGGTCACTGAAGAGTAACCGAAGATAGCTGTCTAGTTACCAGTGCTTACCACTGATCAAAGTATTCTACCGATAAAATCTTATAGTATGGTCATTGATCAAAACAATGTTTTATATGTATCATCTGAGGTTTTGTGGAACTTTGATACTAGAGAAATGCAAGTATCATCAAAATAAACTGATAAGCTCTTTTGAGTGCCGAACTCATTATTTTTAAAACAACAGTCTTAAAACTTTCATACGGTAATACTAAACACTGTTATGATATCTTGAAGGTGTACATATTTCCAATCGGAAGTTTTTGAAAAAGTCACAACTAAACTTCTACATGCATATGCACGGGGTGATAGATATACGTTGCAAATAGATGTTTAAGATTGAAGGTTATGAAATAGAAAAGCTTTGAACCATAATATAAGTTAAGCACACAGAAAATCAAAACCACTATCACGATAAATGCATATCGATAATGGTGGCAGACGACTAAAATAAGATTGTTTTGGACCTAAGCCGCAGTTGCAGAGGAAGGTACCGTGTAGTTTGGTGACAAGAGAAAACAGACTGCTGTTTGCCTGGGGCTTGTGAAAATACTTCAGGGAGGAAAATTTCTACCGTCCACCTTTTCAGGTATCCTAGGTGATCGGTTGCTGCATCTGTTGAGAGCACACGGTTGAATAGTCAATTACTATACCATCCGTGTTCTTGTGTCATAGAATATACAGAGATATGGATGAGAATTTTGCAAGTTAATGCCGCTTTAATTTCATTTTTGGGTAGAATACCAAAAATGTGAAGGCTGGATGCTGTCTCTGCATTGTTTACGAGCAAGTCAAAGATTTTACTTTAAACAGAGATAAATGAAATATTTATGTAATGCGTTACAGTGGAATTTTGTCAGTAGTAACGTGAAATACGTCATCACTGGTGAAGTAGTTATTTGCCTTGGTCTAAGACTAGCTGTTGCTTAATCTGCACAAACGTCTGAAATTTGATGGAAGTGGAGCTAAACTACGCACTTGTCACCAGAATAAGTCGGTTGATTTTTGTTTACAATATGAAATTTGTGGAAAAAATTATTGAATTGTTTAATAACCCTTGAGCAAACTGATCATTACAACGACAGGTAGTACAAATTTGGAGTGGTGATGAAATTTATAACTAATGAATTCGTCATCAAAGCAATGGGAACAGATGACCGAACAAAATATTTACGAGCGTAAAATAGTCCAAAATAATTGTAGACTGTGTAATGGTCAGCCTGAATATGATGAGTAGCAGGAATTCACAGTAAAATGAAGATAATGGATATACCCCTGAAAAATAGTAGGACTTATGGATTCTACTTCTCTGGCTAGAATAATGGGATTCCAGGTTTTTCAAATATTCAACTAACTGTTCACTTATTTTCTTACTCCTAAAGGAATTAACAACTTGTTTACTCCCTTCTCTCTTCTAGCTGCTGTCATACGCATCTCAGGCACACTGTGGTGGTTTGGTAAAAATGATCGGTTTCAGCCACTGTTTCGCTTTCATGTATTGAAAACATTCGATTCAGATATACATCCATATGATGAAAAAATGATATTAACCTACTCATGGCCATTGCAGTGTATTTGTATAGATGAAATTATAGTTGGTAAAAAGTATTTAATGTTGACACATTCATTTAAATCAAGACAAACATTGCATATTAGTAAAAATACCGTGTTTCTATCCGTGTTAGACGCTACACAAGAAAACTGGCCGTAAGTTTTTATCATTAATATGATTTATTAACGCATTTTATGATAAAAAGTATAAAACTTATGATTGTCTCTAACTAATCTTCAGTCTGAGTGATAAGAAAAAAATTAGCTAAAAAATCCTGCTAACCTTGATAATGGACCATTGAAAGATGTCATCGATAACCTGCATATGTACAAACGTTATATTGACGACACTTTCATCGTCCTTGACCAAAATGTTGACAGAGGGGTAATGTTAATAAAATTCAGTGGCGTGCATCCTTCTCTCACTGTCACTTGCGAAGAAGAACAAGAAAAGATGCTATGTTTTTTAGATATCCTATTGGTAGAAGGGTGTGCAGAAAGATCACATGTACTGGTCAGTACATATATTTCCTTAGCTTTGTGGCCATTAGATATAAAAGAAGTCTAATTTAATGTCTTGCAAACAGAGCCGGTAGGATCTGCTCCGCTGACCTGATACATAAAGAGTTAGAACACATCCGAACTATGCTGCTAGAAAAACAGGTTACCTCCATAGTTTTATCAAAAGACACATGAATAAGTGGGAAACCTGATGAAATGGTTGTCCAAAAGAAATCAACATTCATGAAGCTCCAATTCAAAGGAGACATACCTAGTGAAGTTCTATTCCACAGGCTGTCTACAGCCATCAGAAGAACCTTTTATGCTGCGAACCTCTACTTATCATTTTCTAGTCAACTGGTAATTGTTGCCCAAACAAAAGACAAGCTATCTAGTTCTGTCGTTTTGATGTGTATTTATCATTTCAACTGTTCTTGTGGAGAAAGTTATATTGGGCGTACAACTAGGCAGCTTAACAAAGGTGTGGCTGTGCACCAACCATCATGGCTGGGAAAGGGGCAAATGAAGTCAGTACGAAAGTTTAATTCTGTCACATTTAGTCGACAGTGGTCACGTAATAGACAAGACCAAAGCGTTTAAAATCATCTATCGCATCCCACAAAATCTTTTGAACAGAATTCGCACTCGCATTTTGCATATGGCTGAGGTAATGGGTATTAGAAAAGACAAACCTAGTCTTTGTGTGTAGAAAAAGTTTGTGAAGCCTTTATCTCTGCCTTAGCCATAGAAAACCTGATAAATAACTTTACAAGTTGTTATTCATCGTAGACTGACATCAGTTGGAGGGACAAAGAAAACCTGAGAGCACTGGACAGTTGTTTTGTCCTATTATGGGACTCCTCAGCAGTACGCACCCACGAACCTGCAACCCCCAAGTTCCGTGGCCAGCACGTTGCCATTGAGCCACTGGATCAGTATCCAATGGTCCATACTTTTAACTTCTGTTAGCTCACGATATAGCCCAACCGCCACCAAAATCTCATCGTTGAGTAACTGTCCTTACGATCATCAGTCTTTGCCCCCATAAATTCAGTTTTCACCCTCTTCCCCTTTCACACACTTTCATTTATTTGTTTTGATTTTGATTATCTACAAATTTCAGCCTTTAGTATTACGTAACTCTTATTTTTGTAAGTTTTGGTCGACATTGTTTGTTTAAATATTAGCATTACCATGCTGTTCTCATTGTTCTTATCGTCATTGGGCTAAATAATCCACAATCGTTGGTTTGATGTTTTGTATGTGAGAAAATTTATGTATATAAGCGTAAAGCCTGATTAGAGCTAATTGAAAGCCTTAAGTACACAGGCATGAATGTTTCTGATGATTCCTTAAGAAATCAAATTCCCTCACCGTCTGCGTTGAATAAAACAATTTGTTTTGCTATATATTTGTCAAATTTCTATGAACATTCTATCCTACGGTGTATGAGGAAAAAAAGTTAACTTGTTCTTCCACTTCTTCCAACATCATTTGTCTAACAAATACATATGAACTTTTATGTCCAGTCTGAAATAACTTTACTTGGCTTTCCATCAGATTTTTGTGTTTCTAAGGTAGACCAGTTTGCATTTTAAAGATATTTTGTTGCAATTGAGAAATTTCCTCAAGAATGTCTTGGTTGTGGCTCAAAATGTGATAGAGTTCTCCAACAACAAAGAACAGAAAGCTTTGTGTACATCTGTGTAAATGAAATGCTTGCCTACTTATTCGGTTAGCCAATAACGATAAATTGGCAGTGAAAGTAGCAGCAGACAATGCTTACATAAATAATACTTTATATTTCAGAAAGTGTCGTAGGAGAAATCTATGCAGTAACCTTATACCAGGTCTGATCTATTCAAGTTAATTTTTCAACTTGAGAAACACCTTTTTCATGATGTACTATACTTTAATGAAATATTAATTCAGTAAGAACATATTATAAAAGGTAGCTGCAAACCTTTGGACTGTCTCACTATTATCAAGTTCAACAACCATTTTATTTGAGAAGAGCTTCAAATGACAAGAATTCTAGAATTCAGTTATCGTTTACAGAGTAACAAATTAACATTCACTAGTCACCATTAACTTTGGAAACGGAATATTTTACATGTTTAGATTTTTCATGCTCTTGAAGATGATGTTTTAACCGGCCAGACTTATTACTTGACTGAACACAGAAAGTGTTATTGACAATAATTATTATAATACTTGTAACAACAATAATCATGCTAATTATCGCTTTATTCCAAACAACATACGTGATACATCATGCAATTTTTAACAGGTAATATTTCAACAAATACACTCCCTGTTCAGTATTTTTGAAAAGAAATAACTACTGCATCTGAATAGTGTTAATAATAACAGTATTAAAGGAAATGATGTGAAGTGGGCAGTTGATGTTACATTATAATCTGGTCTAGACTCGAGAATGAAGATAAAATCGAGCTAAATTTCGATCACGGCAGTTTAGTGAGCCAGTGCAAAAGTCTGCGATTCGATAAGCATTCTAGAAATGGTACTAAGCTGTGTTTCTGAGCATTCATACAAGCATTTTAAACCAGGGTAACGGTTTTTCTCTGTTTCGTTCTGAGCTCGAGAAACGATAGTTTGAAAACATTTTAAAAATGTGCATGATACATATACATGATACACTTAGATGATATATTAAACAAAACTAAAACAAATAGGAAGGGAAGAATTTGTTGAAATATTTTTTCGTGAAAAAACATTTTGTAGTCCAACGTTTAGGACCTCATATCTTGTCGACTCCCAAAAATTTATCTTTCCACCAACATATCACGCAAGGAAGCTGAGACTCTCCGGCATAACTCCGTCTCATCTTTACAACTAATTAACTTCTGTTCATAACCTATTATTCTTCAGTGTTCTACGTTAAACCTCCCTGATCTACTAAAAAGCGACTATATTCGATTGGGTAGGGCTTTAAGAGCTATAAGCAGGTTGATTGTTGTGCTTTCGTTCCAAGTGACTTACACTGTAATTCAGTCGCTTCGTCGGATACTGCGCATCTTTTTCAGTTAAAGCGCTCTCTCATTATATCTAGCTCCTTTGGAAACAAACATCAAAGGTTTTGCGCTTATATAGAAATTCAAATGTGCACCATTTTATCTTTATTCGTCCTTCGGGTTCCTAGTGGAACATAGGGTTTCAGTAGCTAGTCGCCATTTCACTCTCTTCTATGCAGTCTTCTTAACCTGGCTCCACGACAGCCTACAAACTCTCATTTCTTCATCACACCATCTCCTCCATGTCACCCACAGACACCCTAGCCCAACTCGTCGTCTCCCATCTGGGTTCCACTTGACGGAATGGCCTGGCCTGGTGTGATGTCCCCAGTTGGCCTTCTCAGTACATACCGAATCCATCTACACTTACTTCTGCATATGTGTTGCGCAATAGGTTCTCGGTTGGTTCGTCACCAGCCACAGTTTCTTGTTACTTATTCTTATTATTGTGGCCATCTGACCTTCAGTAACGAGCCGGTGTAGGCAGTTGTCGATGAATGTCTGTAGTTTGTTGGAAATCCCTTTCGTAACGTGCCAACTCTCTCAACCATTGCATAGAAGCACCGACTTGGCTGGATTGGTGTTGAAAATGCAGATGTCGTTCACGCTTTATGCTGAGTGCAGTGCATTAGATCTGCACGCTGGTTTCAGGTTGATCAACGCCTGCCTGTCTTGCTGTCTTTCCGATCCTGGCTGGCTTTGAAGTCCTCGTCTGTGCCTGTGCTGCCTGTAGTTGAAACGGTGTGGCCTAGATAGGTGAAAGAGACTACTTCCTTTGAGTTTCTCCCGTTGATGGTGGTTTGAGTTTGTTGTTTTTGTTGTTGTTGTTGTTGGTGGTGGTGGTGGTGGTGATGGTGGTGGTGTTATTGGTTGTGTATCTTCATCACCTCTGTCTTCTCCACGTTCACTTGAAGTTCCATCTCCCTTCACTGCCTCTTCTGTCAACTTGTTAGTTTTCGCCTCTAGGTGTTAAACTTTGTGTGACATTAGACACAAGTCATCACTGGCCAAATCCAAATCTTCTAGGATGTTTTCCCTGGCCCAGCCAACGTATCCCCATCTCCTCACTCCTCACGGTTTGTTGCATGATCCAGTCCACCACAATCAGGAAGATCATGGGTGATAGTAGGTGACAGCCTCGTTTCACTCCTGTCTTCACTTCATTTCAAAGGCATCACTGAGCTGCCCATTGTGAATAACTTGGCATGTGTCGTCTTCATAATGCTGTTCAATGATGTTGATTAAGGTTTGTGGTATTCCGTAGTGTTGGAGCAGTTGCCAAATTACTTCTCGATCGACGCTGTCGAAGTCCTTTTCATAGTCGATGAAGTTGAGGTTGGATTGAGTTGACTGCGATTCTGTACTCTGTTCTATGATGATGCATAGCGTTGCAATTTTTTCCGCAGATGACTCCTAGTTCTTGAATTCAGCCTGTTCTGGTCGTAGTTTTGAGTCCTACGCATCCTCTAGTCTCTCCGAGATGATGCGGCCTAATATTTTGCTCTGGTGGATAGAAGTGGAGCATGATTCCGCACCAGTTCTTGCAGACTTAAGTCGACCACCTTCGCGAGTTTGACAAGGTAGCCCTTCCTCCAATCCATCAGCATGTAGGTTTCCTTCCTTGTAGATCTTCTGCAATAGTGGTTTGAGGATGTCCGATGTTGTCTCTGAGTATGTTTTCAGTGCTTCTGGTGGGATTCCATCCGGTCCTGCTGCTTTCCCACATTTCAGTAGCTTTATGGCGTTCAGGACTTCGAATTTCGTTGGAGGGCCTGTGTTCACTGGTAGTTCTGTGTCTGAGGGTGGTATTTCTTGACGGAGTGCAGGTGGTGGTAGATTCAAGAGCTTTTTGAAGTGGTCAGCCCATTGTTTCTTTTATTTCTTATCTTTGGTAGCCAGATTTACTTCATCATCTTTTATCGGTTTCATCTGTGTTGACCTGTTCCCAGATAGTAACTTGGTTATTCGATACAATGTTGTCAGGTCTCTCCTACCAGCAGCCTTTTCTGCTTCACATGGTTTGAGCCTACATCTGCTCCTCTTCTTGGCCATGTGTCAGGTAGGCTGTCTCCACTTTCTTGAGATTGAGGTGAAGTCGATCTGACTGTTAGTGTGTTCATCTGGTGAAATCCATGTCGCTTTGTGAATATCCTTGTGCTTGAATACAGTGCCTCCAATCACCAAATCGTTGAATGCACAGAAGTCTGCAAACAATTCTCCATTCTCGTTCATTTCACTTAGCGCTTCTCGACCCATGGTTAGTTCACTTCTTTTGTTGTCCGCTCCCAGTTTGGCATTCATGTCACCCTACCTATTAGAATTTTGATGCGGCCAACTGAGGACTTCTCCAATGTTGATGGCAATAGTCTGTAAAATTCCCCCTTCTCTTGATCTGCATTATTTTTAGGTGCGTAGCACTGAATGATTGTGACTTTGCCTCCTTTTGAGTTGAACCTTGCTGTTATGATCCTGGAGGAGATTGGTTCCCACTGTATGAGAGCCTTCAATGCTCTTGAGAGGGGACATCATGATAGCCACTCCACAACTCAGTGTGCTCGTGGTTGTCGTCTAGGTGACAATATCGGAGTAGATTATTGATTCTCCAGTTGGCAGTTTGGACAGTCCACTTCCATTCCATCTGCTTTCGCAAATTCCAAGCACTTCAATGTGATACCTTCTCATGTCTGTTGCAATCTGGGCTGCCTTGCTAGGTTCAAACATAGTGCGAACATTCCATGTCCCCACGTTTACTTTCGCTTTTATCGACAGAAGACATATAGGCCAATTGGCTTCCCGAAGTCTTTCACCAACTGGCGTCATTTCGCCTCTCCGATTCCAGCAAGGAACAATTTTGTTTTCATTTTTTATATTTCGTTTGTGCTTTGAAGTTTCTGAAGCAGTTGGATCGGTTTTACGGGGTAGAGTAGGTAGCCCTACGCCCTACCTTCCCCTTTACTCGGGCTTAGAACCGACTGGTAACTAGTGAACTAATTAACCAGGCGAGGCTGTGTACCATTTTACTTGCACCTTATTTTTTATAAAAATATGTGAAAACAGGACTCATTCCTCATTTTTGCAGAAGTAAACAATTACTTTTTTCGACATTCCAAACATTTATGCATGTTACATTTGCTTCTATCGCTTAGAATACATGTTACACTGTTAAACTATGCATTAATCGCATAAGTTGTACAATTCTAGACGGTAAGTGAATTAGGATAACCATACGTAAGTTGACCAGCAACATAAATAATTATTGATTGAATAAAACAAGCCTATGACAAGAGTGAGATAATGTCTTCACAGCGCAAAACTCACTGTTTCTATTACATTACTATAGACAAGTGTATATTTGAATTTATTTGCCAGTGTTGGAAAGGAGCTTGCGCTCATCGATCTGGTCGAAATCGCAGTCGACGTTATCAGACACAGTCGGACATGAAATTGGTCAATAGTCCGTTGTAATCGCAACTTTTCAATGGAAAATATTATTATACCTCTTCTCAAACTAAAACGAACATACAGCGGAATATAGTCAAACTATTCATGGTATGTTTATTGAAAAAATTAATGAAATATATTGCCAAGAAATATGGTTCAAGATATACACGATAACACATTTTCCTACTTTCTACATGATCTCATCACGTTAAACATTTTGTTTTCCTTCGACCATGCTTCAGTTATACATAAATAACTACAACTCTAGTCAAAATACACTTGAATATATATTCCTGAATACGTTAGTTTTTGGTATTATATTGTCTTGCTGCTTTAGTCCCTAAGTTGATTCGATTTCTGTTTCCACCAATTAAGCAACATGCTATATTTTCATTCTTTGTTGCCTTTTTCTCAGTTATCAGTGATTTCATTGTTTCACTCCTAAAAATAAAGCGATATTGATCAGATTAACATGCTTTTATGCAAATGATATGCGCTGTTATTGGGCTAAAAAAATTTATCATTTCAATACTTACCATCCCCCGTTTATTCCTTGGATGACTGGAGGAAAACACAAGTGTAAATGGGCAGCTGTTAAACAAAAACAGGATCCAAAGGAATGTCATTAGTCGAATACAAGGACAGAAAATTCAAAGTAGAACCTCGTACACAAGTACATCTGCTTCCAGTTGCCACACCTCGAAGCAAAATGTAAAGAAAAACAGCTTAGAAAAGGTTATATCAAAGTAGGTAAAGTTGCATAGTAGGAGAATAAATCTGAAGATATCCAAGCTATGGACGACGTTGAAGATTGAATGCATTTACATCACTGTGATCAATTTTCAGCCTCGTTACCAAGAATCCTCAGCCATATCTTGTTCTGGTCAGCAGTGTCGTCAACAAACAAAATTCAAGGAGGAAGTAAAATTTGCGCCGAAAAATCTATCTTCTCAATAATATATGTTTTGTTATCCTCCAGGTCTATAGCTCTACAAGTTTGTAGGGTATACTGGTTGTGTTACTATTACGTAACGTTTGACCACCCCTACTTAACTTGATGTGCTCTAGTACTTGCTTAACCAGTACCCTACCTAATGTGTAAATGCTGATGATGAAACACAAATCAGAAGGACTGGTACTCAGGAATATATTCGAGGAAGCAATATATTTAACTAGGACAAATGTAAAAGTAATAAACAGGGGAAAAGCTTACTGAACTTATCTGGCTAGGATGGCTGCAGGTTCAGACATCAGATCTCTTAGAAATACTGAAAAACATCTTCATCTGACACAAATTATCAGGCTGACTGCAATATCCATTCGTTAGATTTTACTGTTTATTGGATGTGTCACTCACTGCAAAACTATCATTTACTGGATAGTATTTTGGACACAACTGATTATCTAGGTAACAACGAAACTTTGCTCTATGGTTTCTATGGTTATGATTTTTTCTTCACGTTTGTGATGAGAAGAGTACAACTTTTCATATATCTAGAGCTTTCACTCTCCCTGAAGCATCTAGGAGACAACACTTCACTTTATAATAGTAGATATTGTGGAATGAATAGTGCGAAGTTGAATGCTTTGAATCAATAAAACGTGTAGAATAGATGATCTAACTGATCTACGTTGGATTCATCATTTTATCTTTTCTAAGTCTACATGAATGATTCGCATACTTGTCCCTGAGGAAATAATTAAGTCTGTGCAAACACTTTATTGGTCAGGCGGGATAATCTGTGCTTCTTGATACATTGGTTTTTCCAAAAGAAGCAAACCGACAAATAATTCCTTTTATTATTCTATGTAAAACGTTTTGAGTTGATTCCGCTAAGATGATATTTCAAAGTATCACTGCAAGTGTTCCTTTCAAATGTAGACCCTGAAACAATGACTTCTTCGAAATTGTGGTGACTATCTTTGAATTTTGTCTATTTTCCATACTTTTCCTCTACGCTGAATAAAAACAAGACTTTATTTGAAGTTAAACATGAGGTGAATGTGATTTCATGTCACTATTAATACCAAAGCTGTCGGATTTAGTAATTAGCTAAGCTTTTGTTTTGTTCACGAGACTCTCTGGTGATTCATCATTGTTTTAAGTGAGTACCGTATTGTGATGGTAACCAACTCCTCACCTACATTTATTTTTCGACTGTAAATTTTGATGATAAATGACAAGCGCTAAGAAAATTTCAAGATTTGTTACATATTATACGAAGTGTTACGTATGATGAAGACGTCATCGATTAATCGCTTAAAGGAATTTACTCGGACATTCGTTGACTTGAAAGAGTTATGACTCCAAAGTGTTGTAAACAGTATCTTTCACAGATTATGCAGAGTAACACTGCTACCTGAATACACTGCAGCTGTCTGAAAATATACAATGTTAATTAAATGCATAAACCTTTCGAAAAATGAAGTCGTGTACACTGAATGTTAAGTGTGATATAGGTTGAAAAGAGTTTAATCATGGTTAAAAGTTATATGATACTCAAAAGTGATAATTACACAGGAACTTTACATAAATAGTTCTGTCAAAATCCACTGGTTGTTGATAAGCCCTGCAAATAGAAGAATGATTGGTAAGTTAATTGCATTTTGAAGTACGCGTCATTGCAAGACGGAAACTTAGTACATCAAGATGACAGATTCACATTTCTTTTCTGTTCTCCCATGACACCGATGTTTATTACCGCATAAAATAAATAGGACAAATTAAGAACCATATGCTTTAAATTGTTTCACATTTTTGTTTCTACCGTTTGAGCTTACAGTACAAATATGAAACTTCCATGGACTTCAGGTCACTTGATATCGAAATATATGCTTTCATTTACATGAGTGAAAAATAATTACACTTACTTCATTACATATTGCTGGAAAGAAGTTTATGATCAAAATGATCAACGTTTGTGGTTAAAGAAGACTAGTTTAGCAAATTTTCCAGAAAAGCGTAGCAACTACTGCGTTTTATAAAAGGGCAGAAATTAGCTTTACCGAAATTTCGTTAAAGTACATAGATTACAGACATAATTTTGCGATAAGCCGTTATCATCTTTCAAGTGAAAAAGCTACGTTGAGCTTTGCATCTGGCAAACAAATTTCGATTACAATACATCAATACTACAGTGTGCGATAAGGATTTAAAAGGTTAAATTAATAGAGGTCAGTCTTCACTTATTTGTAAGCTATTTTTAGAATAGTCCTTCCTCCGTTCTTGTTGATCACACTTCCCATATATTTACTTATTAGCATTCAGGTTTTGTCAAAAAGACCAAAATATTATCATAGGTGACTACGTCAACCCCAAGATGAATGGTGGTCTGCTTTGATTTTGAGTTACCCGATTTTCCAACACAATATATTAAATCAGCTAACTCCCTTCTACACTGTTTCATTCATTGAAATGTCTTCTAATCGCAATAAATACCCTAGCACATTTTCAACATAAGACCAACATATCGCTCGGCAATTTCGAAAAAATTAAGTAAAAGCCCCATTGTTGACAGCAACAGTCTCTTAATCGCAGAGCCATAGATCGAATGACTATTCCGAGAACACTTGACATAAACTGCAGGCCTTCAGAGAAAAAAGTTGATTCCCTTTTGTCAATCTTATCTACAAATATTTATCGTAGTGTACATGTAATAACACCGCATAAAAAATAGCCTCCTCATTTACATCATGATAGTTTGGCTAATCTGAATGATTTTGAATTAGTTCGTCAAGATCGATGTATTTCTAGGAAGAAGCTTAGTGAAGTGTAGCAACGTATGTTGAATATTCACCAGTACAAACCGTTCTACCTACATTGATGTATGTTTTAGCTTCTCTAACAGCGAAATTGACTGCATTACTATTAAATGTCGTTTTAAACATCTAACTGAATGGGAACACATCTACATTTGTGTTATACCTGGCCTCAGTTTCTCTGATTTATTGAATTTCGCTGGAGACTTCACTGAATTTGCCACTCTTATTTTGCTTAACCTTTAGGAACTGTCCTGGTGTGAACTTGACAAACGCAAAGACCAATCACTAACTATTTGAACTTGTTATATACCCACGAATACGAGACCAAGGAAGAATACAATAGCGTAGTCGGATGGAATAGTATATTTGGGTGGTTGTGCCGAGATACCGATGCATTCCAACTAACTGGCGAGAGAGCTGACTACGAGCAATGCAACGTAACACGACAGCGTGCTAAATGGCGAAGATGCTTGACCGGGTGCCTTTAGCTTAGCGAGTCCAGTTAGACTATCAAAGTCAGCATCAATGTCGAATCTCGCCAAGCCCCAGGCTAAGGAGTACAGATAGCACTAGACGCTTTTATACAAACCCCATTATGCATCCACCCAGGTTAAACTAATTGCCGAAAAGGCAATTAAGCAGCCAAACCAATAGACGAAAAAGCAATACGAATAGCCGGAAGACCGTTGCGCCCTCGCAAAGCCGCACTAAGGAAAATGCCAAACGTTATTTCTCAGTTCATCCTATGACCAAGTCAAATAACTACTCTCCAGGCGACCCACACTTCTCAACACTTCCGCGGTCACTAGCAGACACACATCACGGCCGGACCCCTCAACGGTCACAGTTATTGGATAGGGAGCCAAAAGGTAGTCACAGACTATGCTCTCCGCCTCACCCACACGCCGCAAAACGTGGGTCATACGCCACACAAGGAAAAACTTAACAACAGATCCCCTAAAGAAAATCTTGGGGAATATGAATTTGGCTATGACCAAAATGCATACGGCAAACAGCGAATAGGTGTGCCATACAACTTACCAATCCCCGTTACTTCTTATGAACAAGGTTTTTTCGGACAGCCTACGGCTGCAACGCCACCAGTGATGCAGGTGATTCGGATGCTGTCGGATCATCTGCTCTCTACCCTGACCAACAGTCTCTATACCAATCACAATGTGGTGACTACCTCGCCCTTTCGAGGTAAACGGTACCGAATCGTCGCCCTGTACAAAAGGTCATGACATCGCTAGCACGATGTACGCAAAGGACCCATAAGAAATGCACAGAAGTGTTGACTTTTTCGAGACATATCCAAACACTTTTGTACTCTTAACTCGCTCTCGTTCTGCAGGATTAACGCCCGCTCTATACGCAACAAAATGAAAGAGATTATGCTGCTATCTCTGATAAGTGATCCGTCCGTGATAATGGTTACAGAAACATGGTGTACTTCTGATATTTGTGACGCAGAGATCTCCATCGACAACTATTCCTTGTTCAGGAGGGACAGACTACATAGTAAGGGAGGCGGGTGCATTGTCTATATAAAGTCCGACATCACTGCTACGCAGTGCCCTACATCTGAGCTAAACGAGATTGACGACTCAGTATGGATTATCGCAAAACTTACTCGCTCCACTTCCCTCCGAATAGGATGCATTCACCGGCCCCCTTCCTCCTCAGTCGAATACGACGACAAGCTAACAAGCCTGTTCGCTTGTGTGGCAACACTACCACACACAGCGAAAATTATATGTGGTGACTTAAATATGCCAGATATAACGTGGCAAACAATCAGCTATCCAGAGCGCTTTGATAAATTTATAAGCATTCTTGAAACAGAGGGTTGGCAACAACATGTGGAACACCCTACCAGGTACAATAGTGTCCTGGACCTAGTCTTTACAAACGGAGCCACACCCACAAAACTCCAAGTGGGTACACAACTTCCAGGTAGCGATCACAAGGTTGTATATGGATACTTCAACATATCCAAAGCAAAATTAGTCCAAAAGTCAGGAACAGTACCAACTAGAAACTACAAGTATGCCAAATGGGACGAACTACAATCGTTTCTGCGCTGCCTAGATTGGAGCCCCTACTTTACCAACAGTTCAGCCAAAAAACTCTGTGATCTATTTTATGAATATATAGGCACAGCTCAAGACTATATTGCTCCACCGCTCCAAAGAGAAATTAAGAAAAACAGAGTTGACTATATACCTACGAAAGTACGCAACCGCATGCGAAACCATGTCAGAGAGTACTATAAGTCGAATGACTTTTCAACGCTTGTCACACTCAAAGACACATACGACACATTCAAGGTAGAAAGGGTACTAGAAGCCGTTAAACAAGAACGCATCCAATGTAATAAAACTAGTAATACAGAAGCACTAGTGAGACTGATGAAAACCCGGATAAGTAGCTCCAGAAATAGTACCCCTAGTTTAATCATAGACAACGGCATCCTCTACGACGACCCACTACAAATCAGCGAGCTGTTCGGTTAACAGTTTGCTAGCTGCTTTACACAAGAGGACGAAATTAAAGTCATTGGTGCACCGTCAACACCAACTCACTCCATAAGTACAGTGCTCTTCTCTAAACAAAACATTTCTCTAGCTATAGCACCACTTCGAAACTCATACAGTGCGCGACCTCAATGAATTCCAACCATCTTGTTACAAAGGGGTGCCGAAGATATACCGCTGATTCTCTTGAAGCTCTTTAATACGTCCCTCTACAGTGGCAATTACCCTGAAGACTGGAAACTATCATGCATAAATATGGACCAACATCTAATATAGAAAACTACCGACCTATAAACATCACGTCAGTAGTATCCAGGACTATGGAAAAGGTGATTGTGAAAGCAGTTGTCGACTACATGACGACAAACCAATTACTCTCACCAGCACAACATGGATTCTTGAAAGGCCGGTCATGCACTACAAGCTATCTTGACTATCTAGACGACGTTACAAGCAAGCGTGACCAAGGCCTATTTGTAACTACCCTTTTCTTAGACTTCAAGCAAGCATTCGATAAGGTGCCTCAAAAACGCCTGGTCACTAAGTTGCAATCATATGGTTTCCAAGACCCGTTAATGTCCTGGCTTAGAACATCTTTAGAGGGTCGCTCCTCCCCTAGGCCTATACAAAGTGATGTCGTCCAGGGTAGTGTGCCAGGACCGATACTTTTCCTAATCTATGTAAACGATACCTACAGTGTTATCCAAAATGGCATGCCTTACCTTTTCGCAGACGGCTTGCAGATAGTCTACAGCTTTCCTCCTGCAGCACTAACACAGGGTTTCTCTCAAATACAAGAAGATCTGAAGAGAATATTCAAATGGAGCGTGACCTGGCAGCTACCTCTAAACCCAAATAAAAGTGGCATCCTTCATTTCAATAAATCCCACCCAGAAGTAACACTACACTTGGGTGACATCGCACTGCAGATATACAACACTGCGAAAGACCTCGGAATCACTTACTCCAGAAGTTTTACTTTTGCGGAGTATGCAGATTCAAGTTTCCAAAGGCAGAAGACTCATTAGTTTTCTACACAGAAACATACTCACACCTGAGGCAAAACTTATACTATACAAGGCTATGGTTCGCCCAATATTAGAGTACTGCACGGTCATCTATGGTAACATGAAAGTATCGGACAGAATTCAAGTAGGGAACATTCATCGAAACTTTAATCGAAGGACTTCCTTACGAAGCAAGATGCGAAAAACTAGGACTAGAATCACTCTGGCTGAGACGCCTGAAGCTCAACCTAACATTTCTTTTTCGACTTTTATTTAGAAACTCTAAGACGAAATGTGCTATCACTTTTAAATCAACACAGGCATATAATCTGCGTAATAGCGAGTACACCATCCCAATGAATAAGTACCGCTCAAAACTTCGATGTAGGTTTTTCATAACGCAATACAGTATGCTGTGGAACAAACTTCTCGCTCCTATACGAGCATGTCGTTCTCTCGGCCAGTTTCAACGTTTACCTAGTGAATTCCTCCTATCTGACGAATCTCATCAATTCGTTGACGGCCAAATCACAAACGGTAATACCATGTACAATGGTGCTACTGGTACCTGGACCCAAGGGAGACTAACAGCAATGGCAAGAGTATACAATACCGAAAACTAAACGCAATAGTTAAGTTAAAGTCTAATTTCTTTTTTAAAAAATGACCAAGAGTGAGCAGGAAGCGGAGTGCGATACGATATGCAACAGTGAACTCAGTAGCTACTCTAATGTAACCTACACCTCTTCATAACCTAACCGATCTCACGACTTAACACCTATTTCCTGAAAATCGTCCCTTAAAATAATCTCTCCACTCCGAAAAGATAAAAGAACTGTCTATCGGTGCATTTTCATAGCATGTAACATGTTTTATTATTTGCCCTTTGTTGCCAGTACTCACATGTAGGTACTCTGCACCACCATATTGTTTCGGTAGCCCCGATACGGTAATACTCAACAGGCAACACCATGATCATCTCCCCCTCCGTGACCAGATAAAGCGTGGTTGCCATCTTAGCAAAACTATAAATTTCACTTAAATGTTTATAACTTCATCAAACTTTTGTACATAGGTTTTTAACGCAAGTGAATACCTGCTCCAAAATCCTTTAATCTCTCTAGTTCGTAGTGATATATTCGGCTTCAGACTAATTTTCATTACCATCGTGCGCACCCTCATCTTTTTCCACCTAAGCTTACCTCTAAACAGTCGGTTCTGGATACTTCTTCAAGTAAGTTTTGTAGTCGGTACAAAGAACTCACCCAGATGTATCATGGTTGATCTACTCCTGCGTATTTTTGTGCTCCTGTTTCGAATTTCACCTGCTGCTCGCTTTTGTTATTCACTTTTCAGGTTAACCTAACCAGTCCTGCATTCAAATAGAACCCTAGAAATCGCATTTGTCAGCGGGCACCTTGCCATCAAAACCTTATGACAAACACGCACACCACAAGGTCATGGCCCTGATGCGGACTCACCTTCAAGAATATTGGAAGATTTAAACAATAGCCGAATAATCCCTAAATTCGAACTTAGCCTGCTTCAACATACCTCTTATATGCCATGAATAACGGTATGCGATGTACAATAATAATAGTGTGGGAGTAGAAAACTGGTAGTTTTTGATCTCTTGCGGCTAGTTCTTAGGGCTTGGTTTGAGTTGTTCGGTTCACTCCTGAAGTGGACGAGGAAATCCCCTCTGCTTCCTTGCTTTTAGCTTCGGTGAGGTGGACATTTGTGGATCAGCATGTTGTAATCTGTAGAGCGACTGGGGAGCTACGTGTTGCTGGGAAGTTTAGGGAACTGCCGTGGCTCCTGTCTGTGTAGGTACCTGAAAGAGAATAGTAAGGTAGTGGTAAAATAACGAAGGGATAATAAGAAAAAGAGAAGGAAGTAGAAAGTAATAATAGGGGAATAGAAAAGGGAAGGGGAAGAAAAGGGGGTGAAAAGAGAAATAAGAACGAAAGAAAAGTATTTGAGAATTTGCGAATGGTCGCGTGGGTTTGGTTCCTACAGAAGAATTAGTAGGTAATGTGGGTGTATTAAGGAGGGAGATAGTGAGTGGTAGTTAGGAGGGAGTTGGGGGCTGGTGAGGTTGGTGACTACCTGAGTACGTCCGTGGTAGTCCATGCGAGGTGACATAACTGTCTAATCGCCTCTTGAAAGAGTCGACTGAGGGAGCTATAACGATGTGTCGCGGTAAGGCATTCCATAAAGCACATACTCTTAGGGAGAAAAATTTGGACCTGAGTATGGTGTTGGCTCTCTGGTGTGCTATCTTAATGGGGTTTCCTCGTGAAGATCGTTGAGTTGCAGGCAAAATTGATTTGTTTGCATGGTCTGCCTGATGGGCGATCTTGTATGCCATAATGAGGTCACCCTTTTCCTGCGATAACCCAAGGTAAATAGGTTGAGGTGTTTAAGTCTTTCAGGATACGTCTTTCCCCTTAGCCCCACAACTGATTTTGTTGCAGTTCTTTGTATTCTTTCAAGGAGATTAGAGTCTCTCTTGAGTGTTGGAGGAGCCACCGTATTGAAGACCTCTAGGTGCGGCCGCACGTAGGATTTGAAAATGGTGAGGAAGAGTTCGGGAGTGAGGGCGCCAAGCTGTCTACGCAGAAAGTGTAGAATGGCGTTCGCTCTGGTTGTCATACCTTTGTAGTTGGAGCTGGTGTCCAAGGTGTCGGAGAAGTTGAGCCCCAAATCTTTCTCCATGGACACTCTGGTGATAGCACGGTTGCTCAACATGTACTGGAAGTCGGTCGTACTTGCCTCATTTTTACTGATGTGCATTACTTTGCACTTTTCCAGGTTGAAGCTCGCCATTTTCCGACGACCAGAGCTCGAGTTGCTGCAAGTCCTTTTGTAGCTGCACAATCAGCTTCTTCGTTTACCACCCTCCAAATTTTTATGTCGTCAGCGAAGAGGAGGATGGGTGAGGATATTTTGTCTGGCAGATCGTTGACAAACAGGAGGAACAGAAGCGGTCCTAGGATTGCTCCTTGGGATACTCCTGACGTCGACGGTCTCCACTCCGACCTTATTCTGTTCACTTTAGTGCAGAACTGCCTCCCTTCCAGGTACTCCTTGAACCAAGAGAGTAGGGGTCCACTTATACCAGCTGACATGATCTTGTGAAGCAGTACTGTGGGTGGGACACTGTCAAATGCTTTGGCTAGGTCGAGAAATATAACATGTACAGGTTTTCTATTATCCCAGCTTTGTGTCCAGTCGTCCCAGGCGGTTAGTAAGTTGGTGGCACATGAGCGACCACTCCGAAAGCCGTGCTGAGCAGTGTGGACAGTGTTTTCTCTATTGAGGAATTCCCAGATGGTGTCAGCTACCAGGCTTTCCAACACTTTCGACACAATAGGGAGTAGGGCAATTGGCCTGTAGCTGCCAGGGCTTTTTCTGTCTCCTCCCTTGAAGATGGGTGACAAGATGGCGCTCTTCCATTCTTTAGGGAGTTTGCACGAGTCTATTGAGTGCTCAAAGAGGTTGCGAAGTGGTTTAGTAAGCACCTCGGCGCAGTTTTTCAGAACCACTGGTTTCAGGTTATCGCAGCCAGGGGACTTGCCCGGACGTAGCCTAGATAGCTTCTCGAACACCTTTTTCTCTGTAATAGAGACGTGACAGAGGTATTCGTTATTTACGACCTGGTCGGTGTCGTAGCGAGTCGGTGTGGATCTTGTGTCAGTGCTGAGTTGGGCTTGGAAGTGTGAGCTCAAAAGCTCGGCAATCTCTAGACTGCTTAGCACACTCCCGTCATGGCCTGTGACAAGATTCACTCCCTTACTGGTCGACTTTCTTCTTGACATGAAGCGGTACAAGTTTTTGGGGTTGCTTTGTAACCTCGCTGCCAAGTTTGTTTGGTAGGAAAATCTGTCGTTACGCACTCTAATGTTACAGAGATTGCGAATCCTTTTGTAGTTCAAGAAGTCAGACTCCCTGCGTGATGTACGCCACTTGAACCAAGCCTGCTTCTTGCTCCGGATAAGCCTCTCTGTCCCACGCTTTAACCATGAGGTTCTCATTGATTGTCTGTGTGTTACTTCTGGTACACTGTGACTGATGGCCCCAGTGATTATTTTCTTCACCTCCAACCAGTGTTCATCTATTGTGAGATGAGTCCAGTCCACTGGCCATGATGCATTCATGAGGTAGTCCCTCATGGTCTCATAGTTGGCCTTGCTGTAGCAAGGGAAGGTGTTGGGCGTCTCCAGTTGCAGAGCCTCCCTAGTTATCATGGAGAAGGTGATTACAGCGTGGTCACTGAGGCCAAGGGGAGGTTGGATGCAAACATCCTCAATGAGAAGTTCATCGTTCGTCAGAACGTAGTCAAGGCGCGATGCGTTTCCGTTAGGTCCCCAGCGTGTAGCATCACCCACTTTCTCTGAGAGGCCAGCAGTCTTAATTGCATCCTTCAGCTTCTGATTGAAGGATCTGATGCGTCTCCCTTCCGTCTCGAAGAGGATGGACGGGGTGTTGAAGTCGCCGGCAATGACTACGGAATCGTAATTTGCAGAGGAAGTCGTTAAGATAGCCTTGATGATCATTTCCTTATGTGTAGGGGAGCTGATGGGGGACCGATATATGACTCCGAGCAGGTATTTGGTACTGTGGAGAGTGAAGTAGCACCATAGGACTCTGGGAGCTGGGTTAAGGCCGTATCGCTAACCATCCTTGCCTTTAAACAGAGTTTACGTAGATAGCCACTCCCCTCCTGCTCTATGTTCCCTGTCCCTGCGGAAGAGTTCCATGCCAGTAACATGCATCTCTTCGTCGGAGATGTCTGGCGAGAGCCAGGATTCGGTGATGAATATGATGTCGGAGTGCTGATGTTCACGCAGCGTCCTCATTTCTGCTACCTTCCCTCTTAGCCCCCTAACGTTGCTGTACATACATATTAGAGTGTGCCTGGTGAGGGGAGGTCTGGTTGTGTATTTTCGCGGATAAGGCTTACGTGGTTGGGTCTAGCCTCGCCAGTCCTCATAGGACTGGCATTGTTCCGTTTTTTTGTTTTGTTTTAACTTGGGTGGGGGCCGTGGCAGTGGTGGCTTCTTTACTTGATGTATCTAACTCACTGGTCAGCGCCTGTGTGACGACCACTGACTCCAGAGGTCTTGGTGGTTGCCGTCTCTCCTCTTGCCTTGTGGGTCTAGGCTTACTTTCACATATACGTATTGAGCCACCCATGCGATCTTTCGCATTATACCATGCGTGCAGAACGTCTGTGAGGGAGGCATATGAGTCGAACTGGACGGCGAGTAGTCTGGGATTGGGTATGGTCTTCAGGTGCGCTGGCCTTGGCAGTCTACTGACGCTGTTGGCCGGTATACTGTTGAGACCAACTTTGGTTGAGAGCCATTGCCATTGTTGGACGTCGTGAAAGTACCGATCTTTGACCGAGCGGTCACTTGGCAATTCTGGAATCCCATGTACAACTATAGTGTTGTTTCTGTTGGGATTTCCAACCGCTGACTTTCTCTCCTCCTCTCTTATTGACCATGGCTTGTCAGGCCTGGCCCGAATTTTACAGGCATTAACAACGTCCGGTTGTCGCGAGAAGGAGTGTGTCTTCAGCCTCTTTGGCGGTATTTAGGGACACACGTAAAGGGGGTGGCTTATCTCGGGGTGCACGGCTTCCTCGAGAAAGGCGACATAAAGTTGCAGGGAGGGGAGGGAGTCCCAGCATCTGACAGTAGTCGGTCCACATTCGGCTGTCAAACCGTTCCCTCTCGACCAACAATGAGTCTGTCGATACATCGACGTTGAACAAAATGATCGAGTTGGTCCTCCTGTGACCTGGGTTCGTTGTGGGTGGCACGCCCGACTTCCCAATGGGTTTGAGTAATTCCACTGGTTGTTTCTCAGTCACGGTGTGTGGGGTGTTTGGAATGGGTTTCGTAGAGGCTTCGGCGGTCGATGTCTTTGGCCATGCGCTTGACGTCCCCTGGGGCCGGGTAGGAGGTATGGAGACTTGACCTAATATGGTCCCCACGCGAGGTGGCGTGCCCACAGCTGGAGCTCTAGGTCTGTTTCCAGGTCTCTCTGTGTTATCCTTTGGTGTTAACCCTACTTTATTCGAGGATGCTGGTAGCTTTTGCGTGGCGGAGAGCATCTCCTTCAGGCTTTCTGTGCGGAGTGCGGGCATTTTCCTGCACTCTGGACAGATGTACCAGAACCACTTGCATGGTTGTCTCTTCATCAGCTTATAGTATTGTCGGGGGACTTTGGTATCGCAGTGGCAATGCGCCCATCGTTGACATAGGTTGCATGCAAATGCCTCATCGACTACCGAAACAACTTTGGTGCAAACACTGCAGCCATCGGGTGTCGTAATACAGCCTTCCTTCCATGAATAAGGTGCTACGGATTGTGGCGAACTGCTTGTGGCTGCCTTGTTCTGAAGCCTTTTACGTCGTCTTCTATTTCAGGCATGGTATGATCCTTGCTCAAGATAGGACTAGTTTG